TTAAAGTGTAAACATATTCATTTTAAGCTATTATTTACAGCCTTTAATTACAGGTGATATAATTCTACCTTTTCACAGGTACACTTGATATGATAATGCATTTGGTGACACCATCTTTGAAGTCTATGAAATCAATGTATAAATGTATATATATTTATATGTATATGTATAATCATATGTATATGTATATATACATATATATATTAGTATCCATATATAGGAATGTACATACATTTCTGTATTTATAGTATTACAGGCAAGATGACAAAGAGAAAAAAGATGAAAAGTAATATACAAAAAGTAACGTTTTGTTGCAATAAATATACTTCGCCTTTTGTGCATGATAAATTAGGCTATTGAACAGAAATTATCACAATAGACTCTGAACATCTCAAAATCTCTTAATCGATTAAAAGGAAGGATGAACAGAGTGTATCATAACACTATTTATGTTTAATCCTATGCATATTTTCTTACCACATTATATAGCCGCATCTCCATAGTTGTAGTTGGGCTTCAGCTAAATATACATGAGTAAACATACTATATAGTTTATGCTTATAGTCTATATCATAGAAACACACACACACACACGAAGGGGATGTCTCTGTCCCTTGTCTTAACACTCGTCGAGGCAGATGGTGCGGACGAGCCTCTCGGACACGACGTAGGGGTCGGCGTTGGACGAGGGGCGGCGGTCCTCCAGGTAGCCCGTCTTCTCCTCGGCCACGCCCCTGGGGATACGGATGGAGGCGCCCCTGTTGGCCACGCCGGCGGAGAAGTCGTGGATGGACGACGTCTCGTGGAGACCCGTGAGGCGGCGCTCGTTGTCCTTGCCTCCGTGGGGGTCGTAGGCGCGGATGTGCTCTGAGTGGACCTTCCCGAGCTTCTCGATGGCAGTCTCAATGGCCGTGATGCCGTTTGGTGCTCTCATGGCCGCCGTGGAGAAGTTGGTGTGCATGCCGGCGCCGTTCCAGTCGCCGGGGATGGGCTTGGGATCGAGGGTCACAACGATACCGAAGTCCTCGGCGACTCTGTGCAGGAGGTACCTCGCCATCCAGAGGTCGTCGCCCATGTTGATACCTTCGCAAGGTCCCACCTGGAACTCCCACTGGGCGGGCATCACCTCCGCGTTGGTTCCCGAGATGTTGATGCCCGTGTAGAGGCAGGCTCTGTAGTGGGCCTCCACCACGTCACGCCCGTAGACCTTGCTGGCTCCTACGCCGCAGTAGTAGGGTCCCTGGGGCCCCGGGTAGCCGTTCTTGGGCCAACCCAGAGGATGCTTATCAACATCGAGGAGTGTGTATTCCTGCTCCATGCCGAACCAGGGGTGTTGGCTGGCGGCCCTGGTCATCACCTCCGTACACCTGTACCGGTGGTTGGTGTCAGTGGGCTTCTTGTTGTACTTGTAGGTCTCGCAGAGCACCAGCTTGTTGTTGCCCAGTCTGAAGGGGTCCCGGTAGAGGGCCACCGGGTGCAGGTACACGTCGCTGTTGCTGCCCTCGGCCTGGCCCGTGGACGACCCGTCGAAGTTCCAGATCGGGAGCTCTGGGAAAAAAAATAGAAAGAGAAAATAAGAAAAGCTGTTAAGTCGGGCTGTCTGTTAGAAGGGGGTGTATTTATGCACATATGATAGTTGAAGCTAAACAAGAATCATTATTTTTATAGGGAAAAAAACAGTAGTAAGAGAGAAGTAGAAGAATTACACATATCTAAGTATGATGAATACAGAATAAAGGAATCAGAAAAGGGACAGAAAATAACAAAAAAGGATAAAATAGTGAATACAAACGAAAAAGAAAAAAACTAAAACAGGGGCCCACAGTCTCAGCCACACAAACTGCACACCTCACTCTTGACAAGTCCAAACACAATACAAACCCCTTCTCTTATTCCTGTCTTTTATTCCTTATTTTTTATAAGACACTCACCTTCAGGAGCCTTTGGAATGAAGTTAAGAGTACGTGTCTTGGAGCGCAAGTTCTCCCCGCTGCCGTCCACCCACACGTACATAACCTGGCATTTCTGGTCAGGGATTTCGAGCCTTAGATACCTATCTAGTACCGTCTTATTGGTTAGCTGAGCCATGTTGGACGTCGTCTGGAAGAGAAGAGGGACATTGTTATTTTTTTTTTATTTAGTGGTATCGTTGTATATATGTTTCTGAGACATATTTGTGCATATGTTTGAACTGATGTAATATGTTTCTGGGACGTAGACCCGTGTGTATTTGTATATTTGTTTTTGTTTTTATGTGTCACTGGGTGCAGAAATACAAATTAGATTGTTAAATATCAAAAAAAAGGATTAAGAGTTTGTCGATGTGCCTTTACGACGATTACATCAATATCAATATATATACATATATATATATATATATATATATATATATATATATATATATATATATATATATATATATATATATATATATATATATATATATATATATAAAACTGACACAACACAGTTTATTTACCACCTGGCTATCTGATCAGGC